CCATTACACGAGGAACTTATGGTAGGGTTCGGACAAGATTACCGTCAGAAGATGAAGAATCGGATTCCTGCTCTGCTGTCGCATCAGACAATACGGTGTCCAGTGAGGGAGAACCCCGCGAGTCATTGATGATAAGCGCGGAACAAGTGGCCAAGATGCTCGAAGATGCCATAGCCAAACAATAGGAAAGCTTCAGGTTCGAGATGCAGATGGCCATGCAGACTATGATAGAGATGCATGAGTAACAAATTCAGGCACTGACGAACCAGCAAGGTGAACCAAGCCGCCGTAACCAGGTTGTTCAGGAAGAGGAGCACACGGATAGGGATGGAGCTCACAATGCCAATAACCCTCCCATCAATACAGGGGGTGGTAACGAGGATGCCAACGAAGATACAAGTGAAGACTTGAAGATCAAAGACCTCGAGAGCAAAATCAACACATTGATATCCGCTCAAGAGACGAAGAAGACGGGCATTCCTTGTCCATACCCACGAGAATGGGAATCAATCCCCTATCCGGCGAAGTTCAGTCTGATTAACTTTACGCCGTTTGATGGGAAGGGTTCCCCCACTCAGCATTTGATTTATTTCAAATCGCACCTGGGTATTATTTCCGGCAACGAGCCTCTGATGGTGCGGTCATTCGTCGGCACTCTTCGCGGAGCCGCCTTCGATTGGTATCGCCGCCTCAAGCCAGGAAGCGTAAATAGCTGGGACGACATAGAGACCAAGTTCCTTGCTAATTTCTTCAATGACGACATCGAGGTATCTATCGGATCGTTGCTCGATGAGAAGCAGAAGGACGGGGAGTTAGTCGACACCTTCGTCAAAAGGTTCCGGAACAAAGCGATGAATTGTCGGGACCCGATCACCGAGGAATTCATTCTCCAGACCTGCCATAATAATCTGTCCTTGGACGTATTGGAGGCAATGGGAACAGCACCGTCTGACACTTGGAAAGACTTGAAGGTGTGCGGTGAAAAAGCCGAACGCTTCCTCCGAAGGAAGAAGGCCGAGAGGAACCTACCGACGGCTAATCCTCTGAACTCAAACCTTGCCTCTCGTGGTAAGGGCAAAGCACCTGCAGCTGCTGGTGGTGCTAATCAATCGTCACAACAGCAATCCCGAAGGCAGCCAAAGACTTCGGGTCCGAGACTCCAAAAAGAGTACTCTTTCAAGGACGAAGACATCCCAGCCATCTTCGAATCCCTCCTTGAAGGTAACAAGATCAAGCTACCACCTATCACAAATCAGGAGGAAGCTGACAACACTACGGACCCAAAGTACTGTGCGTACCACAGGAGGGTCGTTCATCCCACCAAGGATTGCTTTACTCTCAAGAATAGCATTCAGACCTTGGTTGAAGCCGGCGTCATAACGCTAAGGTAAGCCAATTGAGAACGACAACACTCCAAAGAGTACACGAGTATAAACTGTTTCTCAAAACTCCAAAGAGTACACGAGTATAAACTGTTTCTCAAAACTCCAAAGAGTACACGAGTTTAAACTTTTCTCAAAACTCCAAAGAGTACATGAGTATAAACTGTTTCTCAAAACTCCAAAGAGTACACGAGTATAAACTGTTTCTCAAAACTCCAAAGAGTACACGAGTATAAACTGTTTCTCAACACTCCAAAGAGTATACGAGTATAAACTGTTTCTCAATCCTCCAACAGGTGCAAGAGGTTAAACTGCTCCCTACATACTCCAACAGGTATATGAGTCTAAACTGTTTCCTTTCTTTCACGGGAAGTTCCTGGAGAATATTAAGCTAATATTCTTAAGGATAACCCGGTTAGGTAATTGATAATAATGTCCGAACCAGTTCTGCAGAGGAAACTGGGGGTGGACGATTTATGTAATGGGAAGTTCCCAAAACCACAGCAATGTAATGAATAAGAAACTCCCATTCAAATTCTCACCGCGTCTGTGCACTCAACAGTCTCTCTGTTAGAGTCTGGATGTAAAGTTCCCAATTGGTCAAACCTTCTTACAGTTAGGACCACAGTCAAAATCCCCTCTCGATTCCCCCAATGAACGAGAGGTCCACAAATCGAGCGATCAAACCTTCCTACAGTTAGGATCGTCTTAAACCTTCCATTCGGTCAAACCTTTCTACAGTTAGGACCAAAACTAAAATCCCCTCTCGATTCCCCCAATGAACGAGAGGTCCACTTTCAAATCGAGCGATCAAACCTTCCTACAGTCAGGATCGTTTCAAATCTCCCAACATGGTCAAACCTTCTTACAGTTAGGACCACAGTCAAAATCCCAACAATTCACTCTCGATAAACGAGAAATTCACCTTTAGTTCGGTAATCAAACCTTCTGACAGTTAGGGTTATCTGAATCTTTTCGATTCTTGGAGTGGAGATCCCACTCTTAGTTTCACCTTTCCGGATTCTGGGGGTGGAGATCCCACCTCGAGTCTCCTTTCCAGCTGAAGATAGAATATAAAATTATTCTTCTTCAGTGTCGGAAGATAGAATATAAAATTCTTCCTCTCCCATTTCGGGTTCGTCTTTGCCCCAAGAGAAGACACCACTTTTTCAACTCTCAAAATCTGTGCCTCATAGGTACTAGGAAGTTTATCTCGAATCCTAAGCAGGGATAAGTCTGCGCCTAACACGCGCTGCCGGTTTAGTCTTTTTCCGTAGAAAAAGACACCAGAGTTCGATTCTGGGGTATTCTATCCTGAAACCTAAGCAAGGATAAGTCTGCGCCTAACCCGCGCTGCCGGTTAGTTCTTAACCGTTAAAAAGAACACCCGTTCACATATTCAACATTGTGACAGGTTGTTATTAATAACACCAAAATCCATGCCTTACACGCATGGGGAATTTCATCCTGAATCCTAAGAAAGGATATGCCGACGCCTAACACGCGTCGCCGGTTTAGTCTTTCCCCGTAGAAAAAGACACCAGAGTTCGATTCTGGGGTATTTTATCCCGAAGCCTAAGGAGGGATAAGTCAACGTTTAATACACGTTGCTGGGTAGCCTATTCCCATGACAACGGCGAAGTCTATGTATTCAAAGTCAGAGCAAAAATTCAACGTACGACGTTCGAAACCCTAGGGTTAACGCCGGTCAACGCGTAACCCTAGGTCAACGCCAGTCAATGCGTTGCGAGCAAAAATTCAACGTACGACGTTCGAAACCCTAGGGTCAACGCTGGTCAACGCGTAACCCTAGGTCAACGCCAGTCAACGCGTTGCGATCAAAAATTCAATGTACGACATTCAAAACCCTAGGGTTAACGCCGGTCAACGCGTAACCCTAGGTCAACACCAGTCAACGCGTTGCGAGCAAAAATTCAACGTACGACATTCGAAACCCTAGGGTTAACGCCTGTCAACGCGTAACCCTAGGTCAACGCCAGTCAACGCGTTGCGAGCAAAAAATTCAACGTACGACGTTCAAAACCCTAAGGTCAACGCCGGTCAACGCGTAACCCTGGGTCAACGCCGATCAATGCGTTGCAACGAAAGAATCACCACTCCGAAAAGTATACGAGTATAAACTACTTCTTAAATACTCCAATAAGGTATATGAGTATAAACTATTCCCTATTTTTTGGTTGAGAAGTTCCTGGAGAATATTTTTATTCTTAAGGATAACTCAACAACACTACACCGGACAACGCGTCGCGAATAAAGACTCGACGCCAACAATCGATGGTCAGCTAAATCAGGAACCGACTTCAAAGTTCAAAATTCCGACAACGGTCAGACAATAAATGCAGCACCGAAACTCTTTCAGACATTCGACAAAGCACCGAATAGCCTGGAGAATTGAAGGAATCAAGAACGGAAGTCATTCCAAGGTCCCATTACACCGACTGAAGGTGGGGACAATCATATCCAAAGTATTCCAGATTCTTCTATAAAAGAACGAGACTGAAATACTTTGGAGGGGGTATCTGTAGGCATATAAAATTGCTTATAGGTCCCTTAGCTCAGCTCGGCACAAACCGACAAACCAACGAGGCAACGAGATTAACTAGTCTCACGCAAGCAACGAAATACGTCCATTCGCGTGCGGGATCAAGCCAAGTGTTCGAAGAGTCAACGAGTCATCCAACCAAGGGCATACTCGGACGAATCACGATCGAATCAAGATCGGTTTCGGACTCGAACTAAGAAGTGGATTTACTGCCTAATCGGGATCCGGATTTACTGCCAAATCAGGTTAGCGAATCAAGTCTGGATAAATCAACCACAGAACCAAATCACAGATAGAACCAAGAGCGGAAAACGACGGAACAACACACCCGGAGGGGCTCGGCTCAAACCGAGCCACCTCAAGGTGGCTCGGCCCAAGCCGATTGTTCATTTTCAAAGGTTGGAAAATTTGGAGAGAGGCGAAGCCCTGCTGATTTGGAGACTCAGAACTTAAAAAAGATCTCAACTTTGGGCTTTGAGGACTTGGACATTCAGATCTGGTGCTCGGCGACCGTCAACGCCAAATAGGGCAGGTGTTCGAGAGGACCGGATCTCAGATCTACGCAGACGTACTCCGGATCTAAGCTTGGTCTTAGATCCCGAGACTTGGACGATTGTTTCCTTAGTGAATCAATCCTCCCCGGCTATTATTTCCTTCGTGGAATAATACCCGTCGTACTGCTTAGATCCGACCGGATCTAGATCGCGCGGTGGTCCACGGCAAACAACCCCGTCGCAGGCAAACAACCCACGCAAGCGAGTGACCGGATAACAGGAGCTCGCGATTTGTTCGACAAAAGAGAAAAAGTTGTAATTTTTTTAATTTTCTTTATTTTTGATTTTCATTGTAACCGGATCTAAAAAAAAGACCGGATCTTTGTAACTCAAAAAGTTATTATTTAAAGATGGCAATGGAATCAATGAAGAAAGCAACGATTTTTCCAGCGAACAGTCATTGACTATGCTCTCAAGAAGATAAATGTAAAACTTGTGACGTGTGGACTAGACTTTGGTCGCCCAGTGTATGCTAACTCTCAACCTTCACCTTACTTCATCATCTAAGTCTGAATTTCTGAATTCTTTTTTCTTGGTTGTCAGACTTGTGCATTATAGAGAGCAGAGTTTTCATCCCTCCTTAGAGAAAATAAGGCGTTTTTATCCCCACGTGTATAACATGGATGGTTTTTATGTTGCTAAGGTAACCGTTTGTTCAAACTATTTGTAGATATTTTTCTTTTCTTTTCTTTTCTTAATAGCACATGCATGATATTTAATAGATGTGAATCATGTTCTGATGAAACTGAACACTTGAGTTCGATTGGTTCCCGATAGCATATTTCCCCCCTTTAATTCCATGCCGATGAAATACTCTGTAGCATCTCTTGTTATTTTGAATAATTATTATAAAATCAGTGGTATCACGATCCTCAAAACTTAGCGTATGATCTTCATCAAGTAATATTACAGTCCTTTATCTTTATGTTACGTGGAACCTAGTTGGGAATAGTGCTTGCAAATGCTTTCATGATTTACAATTTAGTACTCTCTCAAATCTTTCTACAGTTAAAGAAGATGAGTAATACGAAACCAGCAGTATCTGAGCCTTCTAAACAAGCAGATAAGATGGAACAAGCAGAAGTTATTGATGATAGTAAGGATGCTCAAATGAACAACCCAAATGGAGAAGTTGCAAGTAAAGGAAAAAAGGTTATTGATGATAGTAAGGATGCTCAAATGAACAACCCAAATGGAGAAGTTGCAAGTAAAGGAAAAAAGCAGGGGAAAAAGGAAAACACCAAGGGTGCTGGAAAAAAAAGACGGGAAGGTACTATTGTGCTTGATCACATTATACATTTTCTATTCTCTATAAACTCTGCTGATTGTTGATAATTTAGTATTGAAGTTTAACTATTTTATTAAAACAGTCGATAGTTGAAGAAGGCAAGCAATTCAGAACCAGCAAGAAGTGAATCATTGGCTCTACCGGAAAAGAGAAAAGCAACAGCAGCTCATGATGATGGCGATATCGCCAAAAATATCCCCAACGAGAAAATCAGCAAGCGTAAATTCTGGAAAAGGGTAGGCGACCTAGGGATAGTGATAATAAGAGCGTTGCAGGAAATAATGGAAGGGAAATACCTTCATCAACAGTCGGATCAAAAATGAAACGGAAGTTCCCTTCAAGAGAGGAGGGAATTTTACAAGCTAGGTGAGCCTTTTAACGTCTTAAGCCACCATTTTTAGGAAAAATAAATGGTTGTTTGGATTGACAACTTGTATTTTCTAAAATAACAATTTGTCATTATGGTATTTCTTTCACTACAACAAATTACATTTTTTCCAACGCTTGTTTGTGATTTTAGTCCTTCTGCTTCTTCATAATAGGGAGATAGATCACTGATATTATAAGTAGCAGACACACCATAGTCTTAAGGAAGCTCTATCATGTAAGCTTTATCATTGATGCGCTTTAAAACTTATTATCTTCTTTTCTATCCTTATTGCTGTGCTCTAAGAATTGTCCTAATTACATAGACCAATGATTGGCCAATGTACCTACATCATTGTATACTTAGATCTGCAATTAAATTTTATTACCAACTGACCATCATATAATTAGAAATTCTGAAATGGTGTATTTGAAATCGTGTCTATAGGATTTACATGTATTTGCATCAGGGATCTTTTGTGAAATTTTTTACACTCCGCATATATTCACGACTATTTTTTATGCTGCTTTATTCTTGTTATGCAGGAACTTGGATTTGATTATCTTGAAAGCAAAGAGCAACTTGTCATGAGGTTACAAGCAAATTGAAATATTTAAACAGTTGTTCCCTTCTTTCTTTTCTTTCACCTTTTCCTCTCGGCAAATTGTGTTTCTTTTTTCCTTTATGGATTACAAGCAAACTGGAATATTTAAACATGCATTTGAGTTGACTTGGAAATGGAAATGAATGTAACTAATTTGTAATGGGAGAAAATTCTTTGTTTATCATAATATGCAACATGTTTGGAGTATAATTTGATGTTTGGTTTCTTTATTGATGTGAATGGGTGTAATTTTTTTGTGGATGTCAGGTTCAGTGTAGGCTTATAGTTGACAGAAAAGATAATTATGCATTGCCAAAAATTATACCTTTGTCGACGTTAAATTACGTCACTAAATTTTTAACTTTTAGCGATGTACTAAATTGCGTCACTAAAAGTAACACTTTTGCCGACGTTATATTGTGTCGCCAAAAGTAATATATTTTAGCGACGTTATCTTGCGTCGCCAAAGATATAGTTTTTAGCGACTCTTTATTCTGCGTCGCTAAAAGCTACATTTTTGCCGACGCTAACTTGCGTCGCTAAAAGTATAATTTTTAGCGACGAACAGTTTTGCGTCGCTAAAAGCTATGTTTTTGCCAACGTGTTGGTTTTTGCCAACGCAGCATGCGTCGCCAAAAGTACTACTTTTGCCGACGCACCATTACATTTGAGAAAATTTTGCATACCTTTTGCTGACACAAAATATTATGCGTCGCTAAAAGATGTATTTTTCCCGACGCATGAAGCGTCGCCAAAAGTGTTGATTTTTACCAACGCAGGTTGTTTTGCGTCGCCAATTTTTCCCGACGCATGAAGCGTCGCCAAAAGTGTTGATTTTTACCAACGCAGGTTGTTTTGCGTCGCCAAATACTTTCCTTGACGCACTTTTGGCCAAAAGTGTTGATTTTTACCAACGCAGGTTGTTTTGCGTCGCCAAATACTTTCCTTGACGCACTTTTGATGACGCGTTAGCGACGCTGCATTTTGCGTTGGGAAAGATTTTTCCCGACATTTTTTAAACTTTTGCCGACGTTTTTGTTTCGTCGAAAATGTTGTATTTTGTTGTAGTGACACTGGTTTTCATTCAGCATTCCCACCATGCATAACTTGTCTTTTGTCAGGAGCCTGGAAAGGGTAGTTAGTCCCAATATGATTTAGTGTTTAGGATAGTGTAGGCCTCCCCAAATTATATCCGACCAAATAACATGTGTTGATGATTGAGCCAGAGCTTTATATATGGAAGATATCTGAATCTTTTCATTCACATAATAATCATTCATTATTCTTTGCAGATTTTTTCTATCTCCAAATCTTCTTAAGGGCATATCCCTCACCTTGAGCAATTGCCTCCACATCCATGAATCATTTGTTCTTGGTTGGACCTACCATATATCTAGTTGATGTATGTAATTTTCATGCACCCATTTAATCCATAATAGATCTTTTTTGATGTGTATCATCAATAGCAATTAGATTGCAGTTGCATAATTCCAATCCTTTGTAGTGAATAAGCCCAGTCCTCCCATCTTCTTGTTTTTACATATATCACACCAAAGGACCAGATTGTTGGACCCTAGAGGGGGGGTGATTAGGGTCTTAAGACTAAAATAGTGCAATAAAAATTGAGACAAGCAACAAACTACAAAATGAACAACAGTAGAAATAGAGATAGAGTTAGGAATCGTTATCCTTGTGACGCGCGATGTGTTAACGAGGTTCGGTCTGCTGACCTACGTCCCCGCTCCCCACTCTCGAGGAGAAATCCACTACACAACCCGGTTTGGAAGCCGGAACTTCTTCTACATAACGATCTCCTCATGATCTCACAACTACATAGTTAATCTCCACTAGATCACACTCCCACACAGTTGATCTTCACAAGATCAAGCTCTCAAACAGTAGCAATAGTGTAAAAGCTCTCTCTTTACAAGTCCCTATGGCAAAGAGAAAGATTAAACTGAAACTGGTATGTGAACTTGAGAAAAACACAGAAAAACAGGTTTTGAAAATTTTGGCTCTCAGTAAAATTGAAACTCTGGTTTTTCAAAAGCTTAGGACAATGAGGAAGAAGAAGTGTATGAGTTTAAATAAGAGAAACCAGCTGTTTAAACCCATACCCTAATCCCCCAAAATCTGGAAACAATTGACGCTGAGATTGTGTACAATCGGCGCTGAAAATAGTACAAAAGACCGTTTGAAAATAAGCGGCGGTCGACCGTAAAATATTTGCGGTCGACCAGTCCAGAGACTTCTGCGGTCGACCGCGGTGGTCGACCGTGGGAAATCTCGAGCTCACGGTCGACCGTAGCGGTCGACCGTGAAAGTCTCTGTTACCCACTGACGAATGAACTCAGGCGCGGTTGACCGTGGCGGTCGACCGCAAACTGATACATTCAAAATACTGTTTTTGACTCACTTAAAAAATCTGTAAAATATTCATTTGACTTCCAAAAATTCTGAGACTTTCTAAAATGTTTTTAACACTAAAAATAAATTGTTTGGAAAATGAATTTTGCTAATAGGTCCTCATACTTGTGAAAAATAGTATTTTGTGAATAAATGCTCAAAACTTTAAGTATGAAACCATGTGTGTGATATCTCAATAGCTTCAATTTAAATCTAAACTATTTGCCTACATTTTAGTACTAGAGAGAAAATAAAAACTAGCTAATATCCTCACGTATCCTCACGTAGAATACAATTCTTTGAGTCTTGATATAGCTTGAGTTGGATGAAGCTTCTTATTGTATTTAGTGTTCTTGAATGAACGTTGCTTCTTCGCTATGCCTCCTCCTTTGGATATCATCGTTGTAGCGCATATTCCATCCAATCCTCCATAAATGGCACTAACAAGCATCGTTGTAGCGCATATTCCATCCAATCCTCCATAAATGGCACTAACAAGCTTGATATACGTATTCACTATATTTTTACTCAACAAGCCATTAGTACCGATAATGGTGGTTGTAAATCATCATCAAAACATAAGGGCTAACAATCTCCCCATTTTTGATGATGACAACCAACCATTATATAAGAGCAAAATAAATATGGCTTATAGATAGAAGCTCCCCCTATCTATGAGCTCCCCCTTACTATGTGCACAAATGAGGAGATTTCTCTCCCCCTTTGTCACCATCAAAATGGGGTAAAAAAACAAAAAAAAACAAAAAAAATACATGTGAAATGCAACTAAATAAGCAAGCAAATAGAACTTTCACATAGTGCATAAGCCCAAACCATTTCTTATGCGACAAAAATCATCTTCACCAAGAGGCTTGGTAAATATATCCGCTAATTGAGATTTTGTGTCAACAAACACAAGGGATACATCTTGTCTCTCTACAAGGTCATGTAAGAAATGATGGCGCACATCAATATGCTTGGTTCTAGAATGCAAAACCGAATTTTTTGAAATATTAATAGCACTAGTGTTATCACAAAAGATTTTTATATTTTAAAAAAATCAAATCATAATCAACTAAGCTTTGTTTCACCCACAAAACTTGGGCACAACATAAGCCGGCAGCAATGTATTCCGCTTCTGTAGTGGACAATGCAACACAATTTTGTTTCTTGGAAGCCCAAGAAACAAGAGAATTTTCCAAGAATTGGCATGTTCCACTCGTACTCTTGCGATCTACCTTACATCCGGTAAAGTCGGCATCACAAAACCATATAAGTCAAAAGAGATGCTCTTAGGATAAAATAAACCAAGATCAATAGTTCCATGCACATATTTAATAATTCTCTTAACTGCAATCAAATGAGATGCTTTAGGAGAAGCTTGAAAACGTGCACATGCACACACACAAAACATGATATCGGGTCTACTAGCGGTGAGATAAAGAAGACTACCTATCATACCTCGGTATAGTTTTTGCGGTGAGATAAAGAAGACTACCTATCATACCTCGGTATAGTTTTTGGTCCACATCCTCACCACTATCATCTGCATCAAGCTTGACACTTGTACTCATGGGAGTTGGTGCATGCTTAGAATTCTCCAAATTGAATTTCTTGACCAATTCTCTAGCATACTTGCTTTGAGAAATGAATATCTCATCCTTAGTTTGCTTGACTTGGAGCCTAAGAAAGAATGTGAGCTCTCCCATCATGCTCATCTCAAAATGATTTTGCATAACTTTAGAAAAATCCTTGCAAAGAGATTCATTAGTAGCACCGAAAATGATATCATCAGCATATATTTGCACTAAAATAAAATCATTTTTCCTTTTTTCTCACAAAAAGAGTATTATCAATTTTCCCTTTAGAAAAGCCATTTTCTAGAAGAAAACTAGAGAGGCGAGCATACCAAGATCTAGGAGCTTGTTTCAACCCATATAAAGCTTTTTGAACCCGGTAAACATGATTAGGAAAAGTATGATCTATAAACCGGGGGGTTGCTCAACATATACTTCCTCTTCTATAAAACCATTTAAAAAGGCACTTTTAACATCCATTTGAAATAATTTAAAATCTTTAAAGCTAGCAAATGCCAAAAACAGCCTAATAGATTCTAACCTTGCAACCGGTGTAAAGGTTTCGTCATAGTCTATGCCCTCCTCTTGATTGTATCCTTGGGCAACCAAACGAGCTTTATTTATAGTAACAATGCCTTTTTCATCAAGCTTGTTTCTAAAAACCCATTTAGTACCAATAACACTAGCATTGTTAGGTCAAGGAACTAATTTCCAAACATCATTTCTTCGAAAATTATTTAGTTCATCATGCATAGCTAAAACCCAAAATTCATCATTTAAAGCATCATTAACTTTCTTAGGTTCTAATTGAGATAGAAATGTAACATTACCACACTCACTCAAAGCCTTTGCGTGAGTAACAACCCCTTTTGAGGGACTCCCAATAATTTGCTCCTTTGGATGATTTGATGCGAATTTCCATGCTTTGGGGAGTTCTTCTTGAATATGAGTGTTGGTACTTTCCACATCTTTTTGTGCTTCTATTGAGGGTGTATTTATAGGTTGCATAAGTTCAAATCCTCCCTCAACATCATCATCATCTTTTCTAGGCAAAATAACTTGTGAACCAATATTAGTCTCATCAAAAGTAACGTTTATAGATTCTTCAATAACAAGAGTTCGTTTGTTGAAGACCCTATAAACCTTACATCGAGGTGAATACCCTAAAAAAATGCCAACATCAATTTTTGAATCAAATTTATCA